ACTACCAGGGAGTAGGTCTGCCAATCTTCAGGTGGGGCCTAGAGATCTCCTGCTGTTGCAGCTGATCTCCAGAGGCCCTGGAGAAAATGGCTGCTTTGGAAGGTGGACTCTATGGCACTGAGGTCCCTTCCCCTTTCTCAAGACCCTGCCCTCTCCAGGCCTCAGCCCCCTAAATCTCCAGGAATTTCCCCATCTGGAATTGGTAACCTTATGGCTGCTTTGGAGGGTAGACTCTATGCCACAGAGTCTATGGTATTATACCCTCCTGAGGTCCCTCCCCAACCTCTTCCCTTCCCAGGACCCACCCATCAAATCTCCAGGAACTTCCCAACCAGGAGTTGGCAACCCTATGGGGCTCATTCCCAGCAAAGTGTTTTTAGCACTAGGAAAAAGTCTGAGCCCGGCGGCACCTTTAAGTCCAACAAAGTTTTAGTCTGTGTATAAGCTTTCGTGTGCACGCACACTTCTTCAGGTACATTGAAACGGAGTCACCAACCATTACATATAGGTAGCAGGTGAGGAGGATGTTGCCAGGAGGGGCCAATTAGAGCTAAAACTGGATTAAGGCAACTGGTAAAACCAGTGAATAGCAGCAAATTTAGCTAAAATTGGATGTCCTCTGCGTGTGTGTCCTCTTTTGGGCTCTTTTTAAAAATGAATGAAGGTTGGAAAGTTATGGATATTCCTGTTTATTAGCCATGACCCCATCTTAAATAGTAAGGGTATTTAAAATGAGATTTATCATAGTAACCACTTGTTTAAAGTAGTCAGTCCGGAAATATGTCCTCTTTTTTGCTTTTCAGAATATGGTAACCTTAGATTAAGGCAATCAGTAAAACCTGTGAATAGCAGCAGATTAGTTTACAGCATAATAAAAGTTTACAAACAGATGCAGGGACGGAAACGACACTGCTTTCACAAACACTAAATAATGCACTTTCAATCCATTCCAATGCCCTTTGCAACTGGATTTTGTTGTGTGAGATGGACCAACACTGAAGCGGATTGAAACTGAATTATTTAGCATGTGTGAAAGCATTAGCATGTATAGTGAGATAGAACCTAGTATCTCCATTAAGCCCTGGGGGTTCCATAGTCCTGAGTTACGGTTGCCAGGTCTTTCCTAGCCACCCCTGGGGGATAGGGGGTAGGCAGGGCCACCCCGAGGTTTTTTTGTGCCCTAGGCGGGCCTACCTTCTGCACCCCCATGCATTGCCAACCTCCAGGTGAGGCCTGGAGAGAACTTAGTCCAACTTATCTCCCCCTTTGGAGGCTCCAGGCTGCTTCCAGGTGCCTTGCGGCCGTGAGCACCCTCCCTCCAGCAGACCAGGGCTCCCGTACCCAGCGGCAGCAGCAAGGAGGAGGAGGAAGGGGCCCCTCGTCAAGAGGGGACCCACGGGCGGGGCGGGGATGGTGGCACCGGCGCCCGGGCTCCCCCCTCCCTCCCCCAACTTACCCAGAAAACTTGGGGCACACGGGCCACCGCTCCTCTTTGCCTCCCCAATCTCCTCCCTCCGGCACGCTCAATGCAGCGAGCGGCCACATTGTGCTGCCCCTCCTTCCTTCCTCCCTCCCTCCCCTGCTGCCCTCCCTCCCTGATGCAGAGAGAGTGGGGGTCAGGTAGGCAGAGACTAGGGCCTCGATCCCTGCCGCCTTTCCTTTCTCTCTCTCTGGGAGGGGCGCTCAGCTGCCACGGGGCCGGAGGGCACAGCCCCCGAGCACTTCCCCCTTCTGGTCATCATCAGCACAGCAAAACTTCCCTTCCTTTCCCTGTGGGCTGGCTAGTAGCTAGCTGGGGTGAGCTTCCTGTGACTGCGAAGAAAGGGAATCAGTGTTGTTGGGCTCACCGTCACGCTGGCTCTGGCTGGCTGGCTGGCTCAGAGGGGCTGCAAGGGCGCACTGTGCATGAGTTGGGGCGGGTGGGACTCAGGACTGTGTGCCTAAAACAAATCCCCTCTGAGGCTCGAGTGAAGCGAAAGCAAAACTTGTCTGGAGTGCAAGCAAGCCTCCACAGCGAAAAGGAGTTTTGAAGACCGTCGGGGGGAGAAATAGGCAGTGGTGGCAGCTGGGGTCAGGGAGATGGGCTTTTGACGGGACCGGGGGCTTTGGGCGTGGGGCGGGTGCAGTATGGTGCCCTGATAATCAGCCTGTTCTAGGCGAACATCTAGTTTGCCTAGTGAGCGGGCCGGCCCTAGTGGTAGGATTGCCATATCCATGTTGGGAGACTCCTAGAGCTTTGGGGATGGAGCCTGGGGAGGACAGGGACCTCAGTGGGGCACAATGCCATAGAGTCCACCGTCCAAAGGATCCATTTTCTACAGGAGAACTGATCTCTGTAGTCTGGAGATGAGCTGTAATCCCAGGGGATCCCCAGGCCCCACCTGGAGGCAGGCATCCCTCTCCTGAGTGTTGTGATAACTTGTTGTAACCAGTGTTCCCTGTGAGCTGAGTCAGTCTGAGGTAGCTCACAGTTTTTTAGCCTCCAGCTCACACGTTTTTGTCTTAGCTCAGGAAGGATGGCTCCAGAGCAAACTAATTTCTGCAGCAGCCAAATCACTCACTCACAGCTTTGATGCCAGTAACTCACAAAGTAGAATTTTTGCTCACAGGACTCCCCAGCTTAGAGGGAGCATTGTTTGTAACTCAGCTTTCTGCATTGCACGCTGAGTTTCTTAGGCGCTTGATATTCGCACGTCTTTAATTTAGAAAATTTATCAGCCGCTCCTCCAGAGATCTAACATCATCCTCACTATCCCATTTCCCCTCCGCCACCCCCCCTTCCCCTCTTGGGCTTACTGAAGGTGGGAATCGAGAGCAAGGCATGATGGCCTCCCCTCCACTGGGCAGCCACTGCTGCTGCAGTCGGATTGCCGCCAGGTTGCAGGCAGCGCTTCACGCCGTTGGCTGGGGCAGCTGTTGATGACTCCGCATTCTGCCGCCAAGGAGGGGAGGAAAAGGAAGGTGGGAAGCAAAGCGACCCTTTCCGGAGACTGAAAGAGGCATGCTTAACCTCAGCGCCCCCGCGGTGGCAGCTTCCTGATGCTCCATGAGGGGAGAAAGGAGCGAGCAGGCGCTGAGGAGGGAGCCGCAATGTGAGGAGCGCCAGGGAGGAGCCTGTCTGGCTGGCCATGAGGCTGAAGTAGGCGGCAAGTGGTCTCCCCCTCCGCAGGCAGGCAGGGCCGGGACTGGCGTGTTTTGCCTCAGCCAGCGGAGGGAAGGCAGGCAGTGGGCAGGGGAGGCAGAGAGCCAGCGGAGTGGGGTTTTGTTGTGGCGGGCAGCAGGGGGGGCCTGTAGGAGGCGGCAGGCCAGTACCTGTAGGAGGCGGCAGGCCAGTACCCTCTGTAGGAGGTGCTCTAGACAACTGCCTAACTCGGGTATATGGACGGACCAGCCCTGGTTATTCTCTATTCTGTTTCTGTCACTTTCTTCTTCTTCTGACAAGATCAAAGAGAATACCTTTTGTGCCCCACGTCCCTTCACCTTCCTCCCAAGAATTTCATACTCAATCTTAGTGCTTGTTGTGCTGGTGTTTATGGCATGTCGTTCATTCCCACATGAACCATCACAAATGGGTAATGATCTTTAGGTTTGATCAGTTTGGGCATCTGGCCTGCCATATCTTTAATCTTTGCTCCTGATAAGCAACACACCTCTTGGGCAAGGGGTCAGCCCTGGACAGATGATGTTCCATACCCCTCAGCACAGAGTCACCTATGACCAACACTTTCCTGTTCCTTCCAGTGCCATTTCTTTGTATCCCCATGCCCTTCTTCTCACCCTGTCTTTCTTGTCCTTAGGGTTGCCACTGCAAGAGCCTGGAGTCGATTCCTGTATGTCCATTTACAGTAACTTCTGGATAGGGCTACTAAGTAACTGGATCCAGTTAAGTTAGTATATCTCAGCTTTTTGGGTAATTGAGGATAAACACTGAGATTGGAAACCTGTACTACTGGAAACTCCTAGGTCTAGGAGAAAAGGTGGGATTGTAATAGCCCAATTCTGTGAAAAAAGGTATGCCAAAGCAAGGAAGCAAGCAAAGACTTGTGGAATACAACCTTGATAACATGCAAGAGTCATTATATTATGCCATTCTGACAAGGAAATGGAGACCCCTTTGGCCTTTTGTAGGGGCTTGGGAGCGGAAAAGAGTCTCCATCCATTTAAAGTAGAGACTGGTGTTATCAGTGCATTCCAATCTGATCAGAATGTATGTTTCTGTATAGGCCAATTTCCCACCTATATATGGACAAAATAACACTCCTTCGACTCCTGGGAGGATTTTGGAAAGTATCAGTCAAGACGTTTCTCTTTAGTAACCCAAAGTATACATGCTGCAGATGGCTGAGGTACTGCTTGCTTTCTTCTTTTCGCAATCATATTATGCACTTGCTGTCTGAATTTGTGAAGTTAGGAGACCTGGTGGGCAGCAACACGGTGGGCGGAAAGAAATCAGCAGATTTACTCTCCACTCCCTTTCTTCAAACCCTCGACGTTTAATAACTGCCTGCAGCATCCACACAAGTCCCCCCCCCATTCCATGCGCCGCATTCCTCGCTGGGACTCGGTAGATCTCCGCCGAGTTCCCCCCCCCCTCCTTTTTTGCAGGGGAAGGGAGGGTCACACAAGAGCGAGCGCTTGCGGTGATCCTCACGGGCTTTCATCTCCCTCTCTCTGCCTTAAAAAGAATAAGCCGGCAGGGCCGTGCCTGTCGAATGCGAAACCACCTTAAGAGAGTCCCTCCTCCTTTCCGGGGGGGGGGGAGTCTGGCAGGGCTAGTCAGTGGCGTTGCCATGACAAGCATTTTCTTAAGCTCTCGCTGCTCAGAGCAGGAGGGACTCAACTTGTAAAAGGCTGGATTTGAAAAAAAAAGTGGCAGGGGAGAAGAGGGGGGCGAATCTAAGAGGGACCCACGTTTCTGCAGATGGTTACTTTCTAGCTGCATAGAGTTCGTAAGAAACCCCCGAACCGTACAGGATAAGCGGTCTTTTTTTTTGGGTTTCGCCCCCGGTCTCTGTTCTAAACTTCGGGGAGATCGAAAGCGAAGGACGTGCAGGATCAGAAATCAAGGAGCTCCGAGGCTGCCCTCCTTCCCAGTCCTCCTCCCTCCCATGGAAGTCCAGGGGGCTTTCCCAGCCTGTGGAAGACTGGGTTACTGGAGGAGGCGGAAAAGCAGCAGGAGCAGCCGCAGCGTATGAATTGCCTCCGTAGAGCAAAGCCCTCGCTTTCCTCGCTCGATTTTCTCCACGCTGTGCTCTGCGCAGAGGGAGCCGCGCCAACCAAACCCGAGCCGCAAACTTGGAGCGGCGGGGCTGGTGCTCGTGTCAGTCCGTCGGTCTGGAAGAACCCATCGTGTCTTCCGAGCTCCCGCTGGAGAGGCAAAAGTAAGCCGGCTTTTCTTTCGTGATTATAGGTCTCTTCGCCGTCGCTCTTCCTTTTCCAGGGCAGGACCCATCTCTCTCAGGGCCTGGCGCGATGGGACCTCCTCCCCCCCCCGCCCTTGGCTGAAGAATAAGAAGGGAACGGAAAACTGTTGCAGACATATTTTCCGTGCCTGTTTCTTGTGCTAATCTGATGAGAGCAAACTTGAGTAAAAGGCAGATTTGGGTGGGGTAAACTGGAGCCGAGTCTCTCTGTTTGCTCGAGAATCCGGCCGACCGAAAGATATTTGTCTGAAATACCCGGCGCCCGGTTTCTCTTTTACTCGCAAACAGCAGCTCTAAGAAGGGAAGTGCTCCCCCCCCCCAGCTATAATTAGCCGTGGAAAATTCAGGGAGTTCCCTGCGTCCAGTTGGAATGATTTAAAAAAGGAGAATATTTGTCTTCAGGGAAGAAAAGAATACACTGTGTGGCTTGGCTGTCTAGTTGAAGTTGAACGTCTGCTTTCGCCCCCCCCCCCCCCCGTTCTCTTAACGTTGTCTACAACAGTAATGCGACTACTTGGAGGGTTTTTGTGGTATTCATTGTTTGTCATTGGTCCGTGATGTGAGATTAGGTTTTAAAATGTTTTCCTCTTGGTTTTCTCCGCATAAAAGAAATACTGGGTGGGAGTGTAGTGTGTCCTTGTAGGTTTATCTTCCTGGATCGCCGTTTTAACTCTACAGCCCCAGTGTTACAACACTTCTCTGTTAGCAAAGGTGGTTGGGGGAGGAGAGCCGAATTCCTGGCGAATAGTCTCGCCAGCGAGTGGAGATGGATTTGTAAAACGGAAAGGGGGGGGCTAGGGGGGGATCTGGCCACGCCGATGGCTCTGGCTAGTAAGTAGTAAAGCACGCGGAGTTAAGGCGTGTGCCTCTTGGTTGGGCTGTTTGCGGGCACTGGCGTTTCAAGGACAGCACATAGCGCATCACGGATCCCGTTCCGAGTTAGGGCCTCCGTGTGGCCCGATTAATTTCCGTAAGGGGTGTGCGTGTGCAGTTTAATGCGCTCGAGCGTTTAGCGTGCTGCGTCTAGCCTCTTGGGCTTTAGCACAGTAACCTGATTATTTACCGGTCGGAGCACAATACTGGGTCTGTGTGTCACCCAGGACCGTTTCGACGTTAAATTTGAAAAGGGGAAGCTCGATCGCTCCCTCCCTCCCCACCTCCTGTCGCAGCAGGGTCTCCTTTTTCTGAGCTGACAAATAAACCGCCGGCTGCCAGACGGACAGATGCAGAACAGAAGAGGGAGGAAGCTTGAGACATGCCAGCTAATCGGTCGCCTCCGAGGGGCGCGGCAGGATGGGGGAAGTGAACCCGCCCGCTCTCCTCCTCCCGACCGAGGCCTTCCTCGCTCGTGGTAAGCCCTAGACTGAGGAGGGAGCGGACGCGAGCTGGTCTGCACTGGTCGGCAACGTGTGAGGAGAAGCTGGGCGTGCGGAGGAATGCTCTCTTCTCACCCGGGGCGGGCGCGACTCCTCGCCCTGATAGCAGGACTGGTGGGCCGAAGGCGGCAGGGTCAGAGGCTGGCGAGACTCCCTCTCTGCGGACGGGCAAAAGTGGGCTCGTCTGGGGCACTGGGAGCAAATTGGGGCGATGCCCATATTCCTCAAGCAGGTGTGAAGAAAAAAGTAGAAGAAAGGCCATGCCTGTGTAACTTGTTCTGTTCCTAGTGTGCATCAGTAAATTGAGCAGAATCTCTTCTCCACACCACCCATCCCTGTCTCCTGTTTCTCCCACCTTGCTACTGTGCCCCAGCGTCCTTCTACTCCACATTAATGTAAGGGAATTGTGACCCTCCCCTCAGTAATTCCCATATAGAATCCACTGGAAGGCAATAGAGTGGGGATTGTTGCTTACCACACTTCACTCTTTTTTTGCCCGTGAAGAAGTAAACAGTCGAGGCGGTCTTGACAGGAGAGGAGAGGCGGTTAGAGAGTGAAATAAGTAAGGCCAGAGAGAATGGGCAGTGTTTGTCCCTGATATTTTGTTTCTGTGATATATGGGGTTATGGGGTCCAGAGATGTGAAGGAGCCAGATAACTCCTTTGCTAATTTATCTGGCAAGGTTTCCTTTATTTTCCCCTAACATATTTTATGATCTTCTCCAAATATTGATGGGGGTGGGGCTCTGCAGTAGTGAGCTACAATTTGAGGTATCTTGACATTTCCCCAAAGGTAAGATGGGCAAATTGTGTCTCAAGAGGCTATTTCCCACCCACCAGTCAGAGCTTTGTTTGTATATCCCCCCAGCAGAGAGCCCCTCCTTAGGGTGGGCTGAACCCCTGCAGTCTGACACTGTTGGTAATCAGGGCTGCCAAATGGCTATGTATCTGCAGCAGATGGAAGCACCCCCTGTTCCCCCCCTCACCTTAGTACTGAGGCAATCCTGGCAGGTGGGGAGAATGGCAACCTGATTTGGGGGAATTCCCGTCTGCTAGTCAGTTGCTGCTGGGGAGGGGACCCTGTGGGTAAGGTACCTTGCCTGTCTCTCTCTCCCGCTTCTGCAGTCATAACATTTTCTATCTCTCCCCCCCCCCACTCTGATTGTGGTGCCTATGGGTCGATATGGCTGCATGCTGGGTTTTCCATATTTCAGCTATGCCTGCCTTTGTGAAGCCTAGAGAAAAGAGAGGATCTCCTCAACATGATTTCATTCAGCAATAGAGGTATAAAAGGCACCTTTCCCCTCTGAAGTGCTGAAGAAGAGTTTGTAGTGATCTCTATTTAGCCTGCTATTAGTGCGGCTAACTGTTAACCCTTGCTTCAGATAAAGCAGCCTCAATACCACTCCCTGTGCAGGGAGGATAGAAAGCTGAAAGTAGCAGGGTGTGTGTGTACAGAGCAGCTGTTTTCATCTAAAGTCTCTTCCATGGTTGTTAGCTTGGCCTCGAGTGATAGTGACTCCCCAGAGATCTTCCCTGGCTCTGTTGCCAGAGGAGATCCCTTTTAACTGAAGTTTCCAGGGACTGAACGAGGAGCCTCCCACACAGAGAGTATGCAGCTGAATGGTGTGTCATTGAGGTTATGGCCCCTCCTGTTAATCTTTTGCAAAGTCTGGGTGGGGCAGGGCTGGAAAGCTATCACAGGCCAGAATAGGAGTATGCAGATCAAAGTTTGGAGTAAAAGGAGAATATGATAAGCCTGAAGAAATTAAAGTGACAGAGCCAAGTAAGAATTGACAGACTGGGGCAGTTGAATAGTTTTCCTGTGTTTAGGACTTGGAAGGGTCTTGTGTTATTATGGGTATGAAGATTTGGTTTGTTGATTTCTTGCCAGTAGGATTTTGCTGTGTTTTTAGCAAGTTTGCATAAGATGAACATAAGAAAAGCCCTAATGGACCAGGCCAGCGGTCCATCTAGTCCAGCATCCTGTCTCACATAGTGGCCAACCAGTTGCTCTGGAGGATCAGCAAACAGGACACAGAAGCCAAGATCTCCCCTGATTGTGCCTCCCAACAATTAGGTATCCCACTAAAGGGCTGGAAAGGGGGAGAGGGAGTGCAGAGCTGAGATCCCTCACTTTGAAATCAGAGCTCAGCTCTGCTTCTTTCCTTGGGTTGGCTGTGAATGGAACATCCACATGGACTCCCTGCCTGCAGCCACCCTTCAGTTCATTTTTAATGGAGTGAAGTAGTTTTTTATTTTGTTCCAGTTCCAGGATGAAGGATTGTATGAACCCCCCCCCCAAAAAAAAAGGAAGCGCATGCTGCGTCCATGTGGGGGAAATTCTCATGTGGAAACTGCCAAGGGTTTTCTCCCCATCTCTTTTTTAGAGAGGAACAGTATCCAAAACTATGCATCCAAATTATTTATGACTCTTACATCCTGCCCTTTCTCCAAGGATCCTGGAGTGGTATTTTAGAATTATATCACCCCACAGGGGCTTTTAGGCTGAAATATAATTTACCTAAAGCTAGCTGTTGAGATTCATAGCTGAGCAGTGATTTGAACCCAGAGCTCACATGTTCCAGTTCAACAGTGTAGCCACCGCACTATACTTAATGCAGGATGTTTGGGTGCAGTTAAATAAATCCAAGGGTATTTCTGGAAGAAAAGTAAAATTGCAATGCCACGACAAGGAATCTTGAAGATAAGATAACTTCTGCGTGACATGAAAGGAGAAAACAAAATGTGTGAAATGAGCTATTTGTGGCTGCAAAGTTTTTTGAAGTGGTGTGTTGAATGTGGAACTTTGACCTACAAAGACAGCAGTTCTCATGATTTTAAAGTTTATAAGGGAAACCCTCCAAAGTCTGTTGGATAGATCTCCACAGTCAACATTTAAAGAATTTGAACAAGCTTGGAGAGCAGTGGCTGTACTATCATTTGAGAACAGGGTCCATAAACAGGTTGCAGACATCTTGTTTGGCCTTCTTGCTGCATTGCCTCAGCCTGCAATTTGGTGACTTATGAGGCTCATTACTTCAAGGATTTATCATCTTTGGTGCCACAGCTTCAGCTAGCAATTGTAATACATTCTGTGCTGCTAAACATAGCAGAAGTTACTGTGATAAACTGGTTCTCTTCCTGGCTAGCTGTTGTGGGAACATAAGAAAAGCCATGCTAGATCAGACTAATGGTCCATCTAGTTCAGCATCCTGTCTCATACAGTGGCCAACCAGTTCCTCTTGATGCCCAACAACAGGGCATAGAGGCCATGGCCTTCCCCTGATGTTGCCTCCTGGCTATGGGATTCAGAGGTTTAGTGCTTCTGAATTTGGAGGTTCCCCTCAGTCACCATGGCTAGTAGCCATTGATAGATTTATCCTCCATGAATCTGTCTAATCCCTTTTCAAGCTGTTTATCCCTATGGCCATCTCTGCATCCTGTGACAGTGAATTTTATTTACCTTTCTAAATCCAATCTTATTTAATATGATAGGCTGTCCAGACGCTTTTAAGGTGCGCTACCTCTTGAATGATTTGTCACCCGAAATAATTGAAAATGTAGCCTCTTTTTTAAGTTT